AGCGGCACCAGCGGCGACAACGCGCGCCGCAGCCCCTTCTGGAGGCTCTGGGTACTGCGCCTGCCACACGGAAGGCAGCCAGCGGAGTGAGTGAGTGAGTGAGTGAGTGAGTGAGTGAGTGGAGTGAGTGAGTGGTGAGATCTTGTGTTGTGTCAGTGAGTGAGTGAGTGATGTGAAGCATGAGTGAGTGAGTGAGTGAGTCAGTGAGTGAGTGCGTGACTGAGGAGGGGGCGAGGAGGACGGAAGGAAGGAAGGACCGGCGGATGCGGGCGGGATGCCAGCCAACAAAACTAGAACCCCACACAGAGATGTGGGGAATAAATGTTCCAGTTAATATGATGGCAGTTGAGATCCTTTAGGCAGAGCAAGTGGTTGTTTGTGGAAACATCCATTAATTTCTGGCTGTTTGGGTTTCTACGAAATAATCATGGAAGTGGATGGCATGGCTCCTTGGATGACCACCCTCTCTTTCACTGCTTGCAAGTCGCAGCTGGGAAATTGGTGTCACTTCCAGATCAATGGATCCCTCCTGTCGTATGGGTCTACGAAACGTGTTTCTATGTGTTTCCTGGATTGTACTGCAGTACGATAAGAGAAAAGGAACGCGGCAAAAGTCCCCCAATCCTACAAGAAGAACCCAAGATCAAAAAGAAGCAAGAACAGCAACAACAAGCTCCAGAGCCTACCACCCAGCAGCTCCAAAGACATGTTCAATTCGTTTCGAACCTGCAGCGGGACTCTGTCGCTCAGGTGACAACCATGTCGAGGCCACACTCTACACACCAGGCAGCGGGACCTCCACCGAATTCCACCGACACCTCGACAGGGTGAGCACGAGGAGCACTCGCGCCTCAGGCGGACGGAGCCCCCTTTACATCTCATGAGTGGGTTTTGTGGGAAAGGTGGCTGGCTATAGACATTGAGACAGCGGTGTTCAGGACTGGGCTCTACACTCTGCAACCAAAGAAAGAGGATAGGGTTTCTCTTAAATGCAAGTAGTGCAGGGGAAGTTGGATGGGAGCACACACCCCAGTCAGTAGGATTCAGCGTTGATCACAACACCATGCTTGGGGAGGTCTATTCTTCACAAGTTGTGCTCCGAACAGGGACGTACGGTGTGGAGAACCACCTGTCCTTACTTGCTCTTGGGAGTTGGGAGAATCCGATATTCTCCATGTTGACTGTGCACACCTGGCTGAAAGCATCAGACTTTGTCTTTGTTGAGCAGGTGTGTTCGTTGCCATGAAGGCATCCATGGTTGGCACAATTGATCTACGCAACTATGTCTTGATTTTTGGACATGTTTGGCTTTGACTTCACAGTGGATTTGTTGAGATCAAGAACGTTTTACCAGCAGTTGCTCGCAACAACTCAGGCATGCAAGTAAGCAAGCCTGGGCAGAACGACAAAGTGAGACAGCAATATACCGAAACAGTTCTCGGGACAGCGGCAAAGGGTGCCTACGTATCACCGACCTGAAAGATCCCAAAGAGCTTCATTGCGAGACGAGGCTCTACGTTTACGTGTTGCGTTGCGTTACGAACATCTCTGCAGTGTCAGGCCTCGTCACTCCACCAAATCTGTCCCAATTGACGCGCCCATTCCACTTCACCGTCCTGAGAAGATTGGCGTGTCCACATTATGACCTCTCGAATAGATGAAAAAAAAACACACACCAACTGATCAGTGTCTCTTCACCATCCGCTGGGCCTATGGCAAACGGCTGACTCGTGGCGGCCAGGTACCCCCCTCTCGTTACGAGCCACCGGAGCTGGAACAACAAATGCTGCAGGCTGCCGTGGCATTTCTGGGTGCATTTTCTTGGGAGCTGTCTTGGGAGCTGTCGCTTTTTGATGCAGATGGGCGTAGAGTACATAGTCAGATGGTGACGGAGTCTAAAGACTACAAAAACGCCGGCTTTGTCTTCTTTTTGTGAGGGCGACAGGCCGGTTGCCCCGCGAACGCTCGGCCGGCTCCCCGACAGCCCTCCCGTCGCAGGCCTCCATCCTGGCATATGTCCGCTCCGTTGAGGTGCAGATCGAGACCCAGGCGGCGCGGGGTGGCGAGCGCCGACGTGCGGAGCCCCTCGCCGAGGGGCGAGGCAGGGGGAGCTACGACGCCAGGGTCGTAACGACCCATGGGAGCCGCAACTCGGAACGACCAAGGGAGTCGACCAACCCAACCCCGACAGCGAGATCTCGATCGGGTGATCATCTATCAAGCCCCCTGTCCCCTGAATGCTTCATCAACCATCTAAAGACCAACTTTGAGAAGGGTAATTGCACTTCCTTTGGCACGTGGTGCAGAAATCCCAACCTTATCATGCTATTCAGTATAGTATTCTTTGAGTGCAAGGAAGCATCATCCAAAGCCACATCTACTCTAGACGACTCTAGACTATACATAGACTCTGCATAGCGTTTTCCAAGCCATTTTTCTCGGGTGCTTCGGTCAGACATGGCCTGGCTGCCCCGCAGCCTTTGAGGCACCCTATCGAAGAGCAGTGATCACCAACTGCAAGCGGGTTGTCAGGCGCTTAGAGCAGAGGATCCGCTACCCCGCTGCAGACGAGCCTATGGAATCTGAGAATTGACCTCCATTTTCCTCTACACGCCCAGTGGTTTTGGTTTGCGCAACCAAACAACCGAAACTGCAGAAGGTGGTCATGGAGGTCCTTCTAAACTGTCTTCACAGCGGCGGCCGGGCCCGTGTAGCCGTGTAGCTGTAGGTTTATTGATGTTTATGGCATTTATGGCCCTATCTTTGATGCCGGGATCTCTTTCACCGGGCAGGCTGCCGCATGGGCATAGTCAACAGATTGGTCAAGTTTCAGGGAATTGTCCATTCTACGTTTCCATGCCTCAGGTGAATTGCAGGTTGATGGTTTGGTGCTAGCATCTCCCAACGACGATGGGATCCCAGAACTTCAGAGAAAGAAACCCCAACAGGTTAAAACACATCTCAGCTGTTGCGGGGTCCAGGATGTTTCTTTTCTTCGGACCTGTCCTTCCCCAGCACATCCTTCCTCGCAGATGCACGTCCTTCCCAGGCCCAGACCTTGTGGCCCCGCAGCTCCCTGGAGCTCTATGGCTCCTACGCCAGTGGCCTTGGCCTTCGGACCAGCGGCCTGGATCTGCTCCTCAAGGTGCCTTCGTCAGACAGGTGTATTCGTCGGTGAAACCACGGTGGGGAGAGCGTGAGGTGTGGCCCTGCCTTCTGCATCAGGTTGGCTTTGGATTGATTCACCCTCGCGGATTCCAAGGATTTGGGAACTTCGAGCTTTGATTGGACTGGCGCTCCGCCAATCCGTGGGTGTAGTTGCACATGAAAGCGGGCTGCGTCACGCGTCGCGCATCGCTCGGGCTGCGGAGGCTCGGAGGAGAACCATCCGGGGGCGTTGAATTCAGCATCGTCCGATGAACCACACCTCCTCCACGTTGGATGGCTGAATCCAAAAATTCGATGCATGTTGAAGATTGTTGAAGCTTCTTATGATCGATGTGTTTTTTTAAATCTACCCTTTCCAACCAAAGCCCTTTGTGTTCCTTAGTCAACCTTTCGGGGATGATCGTTGGATCGGTATAATGTTGATTCCCATTTGCCCAAACGATCCTCTCCGGAGGTAACGGGGCAACAAGCTCATCAATCCTGGCAACAAGCCCATTCTCGCTAAGAAAGTCTGCTCTGCCGTTGCCAGGTGCACCCGTCTTTCCATGGCTTTGCAACCTCCGAGACGCCAGAGGAGCAGGCAGGGAGCCTGCCTTTTTGCCTGACTGATCCCGGGCTGGTTGTGCTGATTTAGCACTGAGCATCAGGTTTCCGGGTGAAGGGCAAAGGCTCCTAGCCGCCGGGAGTCTTTCTTTTTTCCCCGAATGATCTGGGGCTGGTTCCGCACTGATTTCTCTCCCGATTGCGGGTCCATGGAATTTTGCCAGACTTTCCACTGTTTGGAGCATGAGATGCATGAGACTGAGACCCTCCGATTCTGCCGACATCTCATTGATCTCAGTTGGGATTCAGACTTGTAAAGACTTGACAAAAGTTCATCTCCTGATCAAAGTTTCTTTCGATGACGTTGCAGCCACCGAGAGTTTCGTAGGGGCACAGGGATGCGCTATGCCCGAGTGTTGAATTCGCGAGCCTCTTTTGACAATCTGTTCAGACGGGTCCAGACATAGCATTTGCTGTGTTCAGGATCAAACTGGGGTTTCTCTACAACTTGTACATACAAGGACACACTGGGGCTCCATTTGGCAGCTGCATCCATGCTGCCATGGGTCGACTCGACTTGTCACTTGATCTACTCCGCACAACCCGGCTGAGTCGCGGCAGCTGGGCCGTGTGTTTCGTCCAGCGGTGAAACCACCCATGGAGCCCAACCGGCTGCCGGGGTCTGGGGTCGGTGACGTCCGGGCGGACATGCGGAAGAAGCGACAGAAGCGACCACGTATACCTTCCAAAGAATGGAAGTTCATGTTCAATCGCCCATGGCTTTCTGACCACTCCACCACTCCCGACGAAGCCATCGAGGCAGCCTTGTCGCCCATCGAGGAGGACGATGAGCAGCTTCGACAGTTGAAGTTGGAGGAAGTCTCGTGGCACCCGGCGTGTTTGGAGAAAACCTGCTACCAGGGTGTTGCCGTGGTTGTGTGCGCTTGGTGTAGAGCCAATCAGGCTGTAGATGATGGGTGTAATGAAATCATGGGCGTGGTCGCAGGGACTGCAGAAACTCAGCCTATATATCTTTATGAAGCGGACCCCGAGTGGTGAGTCTCATGCAGCTGACTGTATTGTGAAGCTCTCTTGTAGAGTGTAACTTGTGTTCTAAACCTGGCCTTTTCTTATTCCAAGTCAGTGAGTCAGAGTGTGGAATTCTTCCAGACCTGGCTATAATCAGCTGAAGACCTTCCTTAAAAGGAACGCCGTCGCCCTAGCTGGGCCCACAGATTCGTGATCTCCGCTCCAATTCACCTGGCCAGGCCAGCCCATTCAGCACGCTCGGTGCGGCCGCTGCAAGGATGGCAGCAGCAGCTTTCGGACCGCTTGGCCAAGGAGAAATGGGCCTGGAGACTCAACGGCTGATGAGGTCGGGACCTGGATGGACGATTTCCAATGCGAAACACATACGTGACACCCGCGTGGTCGACCAGGTCGTTGGTGTTTGGCAGAACCGGAACCGGTTGGGCCGGAACCGGGGCGGTTTTTGTGGTTAGGCCCACTTCTGGGTGGATCTGAGATTCTTGATTGATTAGATTCATCCTCCATTCGGTGGTCTGGTTCATTCCGAAAGGATCCGAAAGGATACAGCAAAAAATACAAAACAATCTCTGATTTGGCGGTGTTCTGGTTCTTAGTTCGAAATGATTTGATTCATTGATCTCCTCCTCTGGAAGGCCTGGTTCTCAAAGGTCTATGTGAAGGGATGTTCTCTGTTCTCATGCTTTGAATCAGGCAGGAGAGTAGGATTGCCACAAACTGTCAGCGAGGTTCCAGGGATTGGGCTTCCAGGGATTGACAATAGTACTATAGCTATGACATGCTGTAACATCCAGAAAAGCAGCAAAGTTTAAGAAGTTGTAGTGTCTCAAGAGTAGGATGGATGATGGATGATGATGCTTTCTATTCCTTTGTATCCTGTATAGATCCATTGATTCCCAGCGGATCCCCCTGCCTCCCCGGCCAATACCAAGGTGGTCAGCGACTCCATTCGCGTCGCCGCGCATGCCGCCATTCCGGTGCTCTCCTTCGCCGCGGCGCCCGAGGTGGGGCGTCGCGAAGCTGGAAAAAGGGATGATGGGTTCGGATGGGTTCGGATGGTTGTTGGCTTGGAAACAGTTAGATGCTTAAACTTAAACTGCATCTTAATGTAGACTGCTTGTTAATGTAGACATACTGTAATAGTAAATGAATGTAATTGAAGCAGAAACACTTCATTTGGAGAGCCAAAACTCTCCACCTGTGGGGTTGGATGGTTTTTTTTGGAGTCTTTTGAAGCTTCGTGGGAAAATCATTTCAGGATCTGAAGGGACAAGAATGCTCTTAGGTGGTTTTATATGTTCCTCTCTTTTTGGACGTCCGGTTCACCACACTGTTCTCCCCCCCCTTCAGCGTCTCACCAATCAGTCTCGTTCGCTTTGGCCAGGTGAAGCGGGTCAGTCCGGAGAACGAACTGTCCTTCATGGCCTGCCAGGGTCCCCGGTGCTGTAAGCGCCTGGTCCCGAAGGAGCTGGTTTTTGGTCCAGGTTCTGAACGGGGGGTTCTTCTGGTCCGTCGTTTCTTGCGGAGGCATCTGAGTCGGGCTCCATTTTCGATTGGGGAATCACTAGGTGACCTACCCCCTGGAAACCCCTTCCGGCCGGCGCCTTTGGATCAACTCGCGCCAAGCTCGAAGCTTGCATCGCAGCATCGCATCATCAGCATAGCATCGCTGCGAGATGTTGGAACAAAGTGGCGCTGGGTCCTGGGGTTCCTCACAATCCTCACAGTTTCGGTCCCCCCCCACCCACGTGGACCTCTCCAGGCTCCACCCGCGTGGACATTTGCCTCCATGACTCTGGCTATCGTGGCTTGCGGAGTAAGGCAAGACATGTCGGTGCTGGGGGCCATGGTGGACAAGAAGTGAAAACCAACTCTCCACTTTAACTTTGATACAGCATATATATATATATATGTAGTACTGTAGTACTGTGTTTGCAGTATTTATATGAACTTGTGTATGAGTTCTTGCACACTCGCATATTCATGTTTCTCCTGAAATCCCTGACATTCTGGTGGGGCATGACGGCAGGCACTCATCAACTTCTTGCTGAATCGCTTCCCTTTGGCCAGGCGGCGCTGGCTGTGGCTGAAGCTTGCTTGATGGGAAAGCCCTCACTGAGACCATGGAAGCCCAACAGGGGTTATTTGTTGAAGGAGTTCAACTCGGAAAACAATTTGTTGAAGGCAAATTGGCTAACTCATGCTAACTCTTTCTGCAGTGGTCTAGGAGGTTTAGGGTGCAGGATGGATTCCACAAACAGTCGCAAACTTCGCTGTTTAGCATCATGTCCTCGTTTTTGATACAGATTTCTCACCCAGAGGATTTACAAACAAACTATTTTGAGGTGTAGTAGGAGACCAGTGACTCCCAAGTCTAAAACCCTCCGTGGGGGTTAACTGGGATTGCTTCAGTTTTGGCGCAAGCCGATACAAAATGCCGAAAATGCTCAACAAACCTTCAACTATAGCCAATTGTTCAAACGGCTTAGACTCAAAGGCCTCAATCCAGCCTGGTTAAGTTTATGTAAATAGACCTGCTGGTCACTGCATTGTGGGGCCATATCCTATTGGGGGACCAAAAGCAAGATGTTAATCGATGCTCCTGTCCCCGCAGGCCGGTAACCTTGGTGCTAAAGCAATGGCTTATCGCTGGGGGGCCCAGCGGCAACGTGGCAAAGCAGGCCTTTGGACCGACAGCAGGAGTTGGGCAGTTTGTTCGAGGCAGACCTCATGTGCAACGAAGTTTTAGCTTTTAAACTGGCAGCGGCAGGAGTAGGGTTTCAATTTGCTTCTGGAAGCCTTGGAACTTTTGTTGTGCTTTAAGCCTTTCAGCCTTTATCTTCTTTGGAGGAATAAACACCGTTGTGCAACTTGATATCAGGGTTGGTGTGCAAGAGCGCATAGGTGTGGTAGGGAACCGTGTTGTCTTGTGGTCTCTAAAAAAAGTCGATCGTATGCCAGGACATGTACAGGGTCAGCTGGAGGCGGCTGGAGGCATAGTGTACATAATTGATCTTAATTAATCTTCTGGACTTTCTTTGCCTCCCACCCAAACCTTCAGAAGGGAATGAGCATTTGCTTGGTCTTTGATCTATCATGATCTATCGGGGTTTTGCTGACATATTTGCTGACTTTTCCATGCAAACAACCTATGCAACTCAGCAGTCTTTGACGACTTCGAAACGCCGCAGACAGCTCAAAAACAACACATCGCTGTACTCCCTTCGTAAGAAACCGCGACACGGCGACGCGTGGTGGGGGCCAAGGAGCAAGCCTATTCCATGTCTCACAGTGGAGGCCTTTGCTCGTATGGTTTGCTCCTGCCCCTGGGACCGGAACACCGGACAACGGAACGAAAAGCAGCCGCATCGGTGGATCGAGGGTGTTGGATCGAGCGTGGAAAACGATGTTGGCCTTGTGACCGGTCTGAGAAGCGTTGGTATGTGGTATGAAAAGGTGCGCGAGTAGGCCAGGACCTGGAGTAGACCATTTGATTACAGCTTAGAACCCAGGAATCCTGCCTTTCCATCCCGAAAGCTAAGCTGTTCCACCAGACCGTTTCGGGGGTGAAAGAGGGGCGAGTATGGCAAGTGTGGCTTGGTGTGGGAAGTCCATGTATATGTGAGCCAGCACCAGCTAAGAAGAGGAGAGCCAGCTGAACTTGATGAATATTAGCACGCTCGTATAGACTGTGGAAGCTTCCCTCCATGTTTTGCCGCGTGATGGCTCTACAGCTCAATGTGATTCATATACAAACCCCAAGCGTCCCAAACGAATTACTTATTTCAGATACAGCTCATATACAGCTGGATGAGCTGTCGTCCCAAATATCAATGAGATTCATGATTCCGACCTGTTGGAGGTTTGATGTTTCCTGCTCTCCACTGCAACCGTCCCGATGGTGAGAGCGTTTTCCCGACAGTTCACTTAGACCCTTGCGAGCAAGACCGAGAAGACCATCCTGACATTGACATCTAGATACACAAAGATGTTTGATCTGGAAAAGCCACACATGGAGATGCCTTTTGTATCTTTTGTCATTGTATGGCATTCTCAGGGAGAGAAATACACACCTCAACAGTCCCAACTCATGCCCGGCCACACTGCCAAGGATGGTCATTGCCTTCCTACAGTACAGCCCGGCCAACACGGCAGCTGCGGCCACTAGGGCTGTACCGGTCAAACTTTGGGTGTTTCTTTCCTTTTCCAAGGGCCTCAATCAAATTAGACAGCCCAAAGATGCTGATCAGCACCAAGGCCTTGGTGGGTTTCCTGAACTTTTATGGCCACCGCTTCGATCCTCAGCAGGGTCGCCCAGTTGGAACCAAACGCTGTGCCCCGAGCTCCTTAGGTTGGGTCTGAGAGGACCTCATGCCCTGATGAGTCAGACTCATCTGAATTGCGTGCAATCAGACACCTGGTAGTTTGCATCCTTCCACACAGATTCTGCAAGCAGTTTTTGTTGCATTCGTGCCTTCATGATTGAGCTTGATTGACACAGATACCACACAAACAAGTTTTGGAGATGAAACTAGAGGAATTCTGGGACCTTCCTTGCAACCCGAAGCGGATCGACCGGGGGGTCTCGCACCTGACCTGAACCACATAGGGTGGAGAGAACGCATGGCGCTGTTGAGAAAATGGATGAATGAACCCCGAACCATGTAAATATACTGTATATATATAATATATATTTGGTTGGACCATGTTGGACCCCTCGATCAAATTCGTTCCCCAAATGGACATCCTTCCCCACCTCCCCTTTCGCCCGAGTCCGCGCCCCTTTCGGGCGGACCCGGACTCCGCCTTGCACCGCGTTGGCCAGGCTCTACGGCGTCAGTGTGGCTCGGAGCGCCTTTCTCCCGCGGAAGAGCCCGACGAGCTGGCCTCCACAGCAGGCTGTTTCACTCGGTGTCGGTCGGTTTGGTCCATAGTTGTCAGACCGGGAATCGGATCGGTTTTTGCAGGACGGCCACATGCTTGACCTAGTTTGCTGCTGCTTTAGCTCCACGTTTTTCTTCAATGGTAAGAGTTGCTTACGACAGTGCATATGTTTGGCTGAGGTCCAGCAATCGCGTCCCTGAACTTCTATCTTGTCCTCTTTCACGTAGAAAGGACGGGTCTGTCGCCTAGCCTTGTGCCAGGCAGAGCTAGTGGAGCGAGGCTTTCTGTCGAACCCCGGTGCTGCCGGCATGGTTCGGATGCTGCTGGACCGTTGGTGTTCAAGCAGCTTGGGGTGGTGTCGTACGTGTGCTTCCAGGTGCTGGAAACAGCAAAAGAACATGGCTCCCTGCATGTATAAGTAATTATCAGTATAATGATATAAATCTTTTGACTTCTGGTTTAGGTTTTCACATGGTTTAGACCAGGCTGCCGATCCCAGAGAGCTCTCTTTGGTCTGCGCACCCGACCATCGCGGAGTTGTCCCGCTGCACCCGGGGCGCTGCACCCGGGGCGCAGTACGAGCACCCCTGCACTTCTGGATTCCAGGATTGGCGGAATCTCACTTGGGAGCGAAGCTGGGGATTCGGATTCAGTTCGACCTGGATCTCAAGCTCTGTGGTTGACTGCAAATTTGTCATCGTCATTTAGATCTCTTTTGGAGGATTGTTCACCAAGAGTCCCTCCTAGGAAGTACCTCTCAAGACATATTGGGTACATCAAATCCCTAGATTTTGAGGGGCCCAAGGTCTCGCTCGAAAGACGCTTTGGAGTCGGAAACCCCCGTCGTCCTCAGCGAGCGATGGTTCCCCAGGTGACAATGAAGAGGCTCATCGCTTTGATCCTCTCTTAGTCGCTTGGCCATCCGCTTTGCGCACCTGGGGCAGTGTGACTGGGGAAATGTTGCAGGCGGGCCACTGAAGGCGCAGCAATTGCGCTCCGTGCAGTGGCAGTTCAGGGACTGTATATGCTCAGACATCAGCTTTAAACATGGCATGGTCAGCACGCCATTTGTTTGGCCGTAGCCTTTGAAGTCTCCCAGCGAACCAAGACAGGAAACCAGAGTAAGCCTGGCTTGGTACTTGGTGTTACGTAATTCTTTCTTGCTTCACAGCCCTTCTTCCATCTTCTTCCCAACTGGTCCATTTGCTTTCATGGATCCCTGTTTTTGTCACCTTTTGATTGTGACCTGGGCTCAAGCCAACACCTTTGACTTCTAGTCTAAACTTACCTTTATTTGATGCAGGTGACTGCTTTGTCTGGCGCAACAGTTGCGGAGCTTAATGAGGATGAGGTGCGTTGCATGGTGGAAAGTTTGAAAGCTGTTCGGGACCTAAAGCAGCTCCTTTCAGCTGAGGTTGGGTGCGCAAGGTTTCGTCAAAGACTCTTCAGTCGACAGAATCGGCGAACTGCAGGATGACATGCCTTTACGACCATTACCAAATATTCAGCTAGTAATCCTGCCCTGTTGTGCTTTCGATGAGGTTGCGGAGGAAGAACTACGTCGCAACTGCAAAGAAGAGAATGTCATTGCTGTTGAACGGCTGCTTCAGGCTCCGCAAGACCCGAATGGGGGAGGTTTGTTTGTTGCAGCCATGAACTCTCCCTGAGGACTCTGCCTAGCGAGTGGCTTTGCGTGTCCTTAACCCGCGACAGGTTGGGACACTCGCAGCGCTACCCCCCCCTGTTGCAGCCATGAACGGCCACTTGGAGGTTGTGCGATTGTTGCTGGAGGCTGGAGCTGACAAAGATGTAGTGAGGAGACATGGGGCAACAACTTTGATTGTTGCAGCAAAGAAAGGCTGAGTGGAAGTCGTCCGCCTGCTGCTCGAGGCTGGGGCTGACAAAGAGGCAACAAAAATTGTGGGGCAACAGCCTTGATTGCTGCTGCCGTGAAGGGCTACTTGCAACGGCATTGATTCTTGCGAGCCAGAATGGTCACTCGTATGTTAAACAGTTGCTGCTCCAAGAAGGCTGGTCTTGAGTCTTGACCCCTCAGCCCATGGGGCTGGACTTGCCTGTGGGGGCCATGACAGCCAGGAGGTCTGTTCTCAGAAGTCGGACCCTGACAATGGCCTCCTGGAAGATTGTTTTCCTATGTTTTCCTCTACCAACCAGTGCTTTTCAGGGTCCATGTTAGTTAGTCTTCCAGGGTGCAGCTGATTTGTTGGATGGTGACCAGATGACAGTCAGCCTTGGATGTTGGAAGAAAAGGAGCTTTGTCACTTCTTGGGGGTTCAAAAAGCGAAGGATTCATGTGGACTGGTTCACATGACCCCCACACCCATAATATGGGAGTCACATCTTTCTGGAAGGGGGCCTTGATCAATCAACTCTATTACACATAATCCAAGAATCCGGATCTCCTCATCCTATTTCATGACAGATCTGTTGCTGTCAGGGACTTCAAAGATGAATTTCCCCTACCATGTAGCGGTGACATAATAGAATATATTAGAAGCTGCGGGAGAGCAAATGCTCGCGTATAGTCTTGCGTATATACCTACTATAAACGTCTTTTCGACCCTACCGTGCATATAAGTGGTGATGTTGACGGGTTGATTGCAAGAATCCCAGTTCCTTCAAAGTGAAGCTGTGTCAAGAATTTGGGACACAGCTCGATGGACATCCAGAGTCTTGTGGAACAGTTCGGGTCTCTTTGGGCGACCGGTTTGGTGAATGTTCACCAGACCTGATGTATATATGAGATGCTGAGATGCGTATATGCGTTTTTCGTGTGATGAGAACCTGGTGGCTTCTGATTTGCTACAGTTTTAGCCATATTCCTCAACCTTTGGGGCTCTTAGCGATGCAACACCGATGGACATAGCGCAAAGCTGGCTGCTGGCACGACTTGTGTTCGCCATGTTCGGACTCCGCTACGACGGCCACGGGGTGGCCTTTGATCTACATTCATGCTTCGATTGGTATCGCTTTCTTTGCCATGGTTTAGCAGTATCTTGACGTGGCATTTTCAAGAAGACAGACAGCCTCTGTTTCGGTGTCTTTTTAGCACCGAAACAGGCCATGGCCTGTTGTTCGTCTTCCAATTCATGAAGAAAACAAAAAAAGAACACCAGGTGAGCTACGGTGAACACCACGGTCCATTGAAAAACACCAGGAAAGACCGCCACCGCCACCCCAGGTTGAGGATCCGGTGAACCCCACCAACAACGTTGGGTCCGGGACCCGACCAAGCGGTAGGGCCGGCCGACCCGGGGGTTCCCGGTCACGGACCGGGAACCAGAGGAGGGCGGAAGGGACCGGCCATATCTAGGACCACGAATTGTTTGTCACAAAGGCCACCAAACTTGACAACTTGCAAAATGCCTTTACATCCGGAGGCTCCGGAGGCATGTGCAGGAATTGGCAACTAACCCTCGACAAAGTTTGATTGAGTTCTACTTGTGTTTTTGTCCAAGATGGAGATTTCACGGTCCTTTCATGTCCTTTAGCTTAAGCATTGAACTAGAACCTCGATCAAGATATCTTGGACCCGTCAAATTTCAACCAAGAAACTGTTGGCTTGGTCGGGGCGTTAATGGCTGGGACCCGTGTGACATTGGTCTGAGGAATCATCAAGGTCGCAAGACTCGGCACAAAAAAGAACATCAAATAAACGTTGCGACGCGCTCAAAATGAACCCACCTGTTTGCGTGCAAGGTGTTTCTGTTCCTTCGCATGTCAACTTTCGCTCAACACAGACCTTGCTTGCCAGCCAAGATTATGCCCATTCCTTTTCCCCAGTACCTTCAGAGAAAGCATGGATCTGTTGAAGAGGGACTGCAACAGCATGTAACCCCAAAAATTCTAGCATGTAAGACATACCAGGATCTCCAACTATGCAACATTTCTGCCTTTGGGCTGCTGTAAATGGCGTTGGAAGATCCGGCAGTCCGGACTGCCCCCCACCAGCAGGGTGCGACCCTCATGGGCCCCGAGGCGCAATTGCTTTCGGATCCGTCAGATTCAACGGTCCCTGGCGCGCGCGGCGGACCTCATCAGCGGTGAAGTGCGGACCTCGTCGGTGAAGCCGTGCGCGTGACGCCGCGTGACGCATGCCTTTGTCGGTGTGGTGTGGCTTGGCGCTTCGTTCGAGTCGGTAGAAGAGCCTGGGATGTGGGGAAGAAGATTGAAACCCAACATTTGGAGTGTGTGAGATTGGTGGAAACATTTGTGTTACTCATTCTTTGTCATGGTGTTTCTGGTTTTCGATCCCGTCGTTTTGGCTTTGCCATCCTGACAGCTAGCGGGATCGTGGATGGCACATGAACCTTCTTCGCTCGCACGTAGGGACTCTGGGATCGTCGTGTCCGAACGTGGACCGATCCTGGGACGTGGAAAGGCGTGTCCGTGGACCGATCGTGCCCGGTGTGGACGCGGAGAGAAAAGAACGTCGACCATGCGAAGAGACCGGTTTGATTTGGGGATATCAAGCAGAGGTCTCTTGCGAACGCATGGGTTTGATTCGGGGACAAGAAGCAACTGCGTCATTGGAGACACATCATGAAGACATGGAATTTCCGAGATGAAATTGCACACCATTTCCCCGGACCAGCACCACCCGGACCGGCATGGTTCTCAGACACCCATGGCTCATGTATTTTCCAGTCCAATGGCGCAACCCCTTTGGGTGATGCTGGGAGACTGGTGTTTGTAAAATGAACATTGACATCTTCCAGGGAACGACCCTACGAGCACTTTTGCGAGTTGGGGAGCCCGGGTTTAGTTGGGAAAAACGGGTAAGCAGGGTTGGTTCGTAGACTCATGTGGTTAGTTATCAGTGAGACATAGTTTAATTGTTGACTTGGCTAGTGAGTTTCTTAGATGCTTAGGTAAAATTCGTTATATATTGTTCTTGAGGTACTTGGCTAGTTCCCGTAGACAGTTGGTAAATCGCTTGCTGCTTGATTGACCAGAGTTTATATAGCTGTTTGTTAGTACTGCACCTTAGATAATGGTTACTTGCTTGTTTGGGCTGATTAAGTTGATAGAGGCAAAGTAACAAGTTTGTCTCAAGTTTGACATATGACATGAAACCTGGACATGATCAGAGTATTTGTAGAGTCTTGGGGGAGCTTCTGAGATTTGTCACAACATTGACATTACAAATCTACAGTTGACGCAAAAAAGCAGCTCCCAGACAGGAAGCCAACGATTGCGCTTCATGCGAATGCGCCAGTGGTGGCAAAGTTCAAGGTCAAGGTCTTGGGAAAAGCACCCAGGTTTTCAAACCCAGGTTCCGCCAGGTTTTCAACCTGTGGCTGCGGATGAACCAAATAATAGACCCAAGACGCAACTCCTGTGACGGGGAGGCCAATTTAAAATGTCATTTGGCAAATAGACCCGGCCTCGCAAAGATGCCAAAACCAGAGGTTTCGGTAGTCGATGTGGTCCAAGGCTGCAACTTTTGTGGTCCACTTTCCTTTTTGCCGTCATTTGCCGCCACTCCCTTTGGGAGCATGCGAGGGGTCACTTTGTCGCGCATTTTATTTGGAACACTCGGAATTTGATGGGCCACATGTGGCAAGTCTCACAATCCATACAATTAAATATCCCGTTATAAAAGCTTCTTTAAACAGTCACAAATCCATCACCTGAGTGAGGTCCCCCCTGGGGCGGGCCATGTGAACTCCTTGGTGTTTTCATATCAACGGTACCTCGTTGGAACGCTGAGGTGGACGGTCCAGGACAGGAGGCCGGGTGTTTGGAGGCGAAGGAAAGGAATGGAAACAGCAGTTGGCACGGATGTGGGGGAGCACTCTTTGAGATGATTACAGATTTGGGATGATTTGGGGCCTACTCTTTTGGGATGATGTGAGAATCCGGAATTTCTTTGGTAAATCCCGGAGTTTGCGACTCCGTTGGATCAAGGTCGGTGTGGGGCCCGTTGGGGCCTTTTTGTTGAAATTCAGAGTCGCCTGGATCTGGGTCTTTCCCGGATGTGGAATGGACCATGGAAATGGACCACTGCATTATCAAATATTCCCATCCATTCCCTTTTGTCTGAAACCACAGCCTATGTTCTGAGCAGAAACTTGCCTAGGCGTCCAAGCACTGGTGTCCGGTCTGCCTTGTCCACCCAGGCCTCTTCAGGAGTGACAAACCGCCAAAACATCTCATTCGGTCTTGGCCTTAAGCCAGTTCAGCTGAGCTTGACAAACATCGTACAACACTGGAGGTTGGCCCAGGTCACATGTACTGCGAGTCTTGCAGCTTCTGTTGCAACTACAAATTAAATGTGGTGAATCATATGTAAAGCATGTGTCAGCTGCGAGCGAAGGCTATTGGTTTGAGCATCAGCATCCTACCACAAGTTCAGAATGTAGTAAATAAACATGGTGAAGAACCGCCCCCTTTGGACAGATCTTCACGACCATTCACGACCCATCCATCGGTGGAATCGCTTTCCAACCACCTGTGCCTGGCCCACTGCCGCAGCCCGCGAACTGGTTCCCGCGCTGGCCGGCATCGGTGAGTAGCCCAACAATGAGCTCCGCGCGCAACGTACCCTTGACTGCGCCAGCGCAGGAGCGAAAGCCGTGAAACGTTTTTGGGGTGTGGTTAAGGATTGTTTTGAGCTAGGGCTAGGGCCATGATCTATAGAATATATGTTGTGAAGACAGTTTAGGACGTGACACTTGTCGTTTTGGGGAGCCTTTTTCTTACATCCACATCAGATGGTTTTCACCCTTCAACCAATTCGAATCAAGCACAGCCGCCCTTCCATCACCAATTTCATGCTGGAACCAACCAGCGGAATCACCCAAGCTCCGGAGATGTCACGCCGAAAAGGCCTCGAGAAACCAGCTGGTTGAGTGAACCACTATGTGCATGATATACTCGCTACGAGACATTTTTGGTTTCGCCTTTTGTGAGCTTTTGTTTCTTGTAAATCATGGGCCTTGTGGAAACGTCGCATGCACGACGCGGCTGGAAGAAGGCTGGATTAATTGGCCGCAGCTCCTGCCAGGAGAACTTGCAACACGAAGAGTCACAGTGTCGCATTTGCTTGCAGAATGGTGGCTAGCCTGATTTGGGCAAGGAGCACTAAAAATACTAAAAGGGCCGACCGCGACAGACCAACTATGTATTGAACCGAAGGCTCTTTGAAGGTTTCATGGGCCAACGCATCAAACCACAGCAAGGCCATCAAGCGGCTGCCTTCGGTGCAGGTTCTTCAATTGGCTCCTGCACCTGAATTCCGACCACAGACATGATCCCGAATATCGGGTGCTGCTGTTGCTTGAAGCCTTTTAGGTCAAGTGGACTTCCTGACAGGACTTAAACAGCGTAATTACACCTTTCAACAAGTAACCGAAAGAAGATGAAGCGTCAAACTGGTCTCTCTCTCTCTCTCTCTCTCCAATTCTGGTTTGATGTCAGCATCAACCACATATTATATTCATAGTGATTCTAGCTTCGGCAATTTCAAGAATGCATTGTAATTCCTTGGTGGAAGTGACTTAAAATCTGAAAAGGTTTTGAAGGGGCATTGAAGTGAAATTACATTAATGTGGTCTCAAATGGAGTTGTTCACAGGCCCCCTGTTCTACGGACCCTTGTGGTCCAGACGCTTGTTCTCTACTAGCTGCTGCATGGACATTCTAGCAGGGTTCCAGATTTCTCAGTCGGTCGAACCATGTCGAACTGCTTGAGGGGCCTTTGGGTATTTGATGACATGTTAACACCATCCTTGTTCCAGGAAACTGGGATCTCGTTGATCCCTGCTTTCCGCACGGGTCGATTTCCGAACCATCGAAGTCGACCGATTCCAGCGGTCGACCGCGTCTCCGCTCGTCACGGTCCGCACCGAAAGCGAGTCGCGAAAGCCATGCAGTCGCGAAAGATTCGCTAGAGGGCACGAACTGTTTGCGAAAGCTCGGGAAAGGCTTGCAAAAGCTTGCGAAAGTGGTTCCGTCCGCGAAAGCCAACGCACAAGCCGCGAAAGTGTTGCGAAAGGAGCTTGCGAAAGAAGAGCCCATACATATACATATATTTCTTATAAAGTATATTTTATATAAAGGTTTTGAGCAATGCTCAGGTGGCAACGACTTGATCGCTCCATGCTTGTGCAAAGGCGAGGCGTCGTTTGGCGAAGATGACCGGTCGATCGTCGCGATCGTCGCACGAATCCCCATTGGAACTTCCTTCATGGCTTTACAAAGAAACTTTGTGGACAACACTAACAGCTGCAAAAAAAGGAACTTCTAGCCGCAAACATTCTACATGAGCAAAATAACCCACATTTACCTATATAGGTAACACTTTTTGATCTGGAGCGTTTCTCCATGAAAAAGGCGGAACGGGATGGTGTTCCACCCTGTTCCACCTGTGCCAGGTGGACGAACCGCCCCTGGTTTCATGTGATTTTGAGGGGATGAGGCTTGAGCAGTGTTCTGAAACGAAGGGATCCATATCATTCCATATTTGTCCATGTCAGCAAATTTTGTTTCATTTTGTTTCTCAAAACCGTACACAACCATGAAGGAACGGCGAAAAACAAATATGCAAAACAGACGCACAGATAGATTGTGGAAACCAAACTTGTTTGTCCTCAACACATTTGGGTGGGTATGAATATGAGAGTCCCAAAGGTCCAAGATCAGTTAGACCATGTTAGACCCCTAGAACATACCCATTGAGTCCCATTGACATGACCAACAAGAACACAGTAAAGAAATATTGCATTTTAGTACTTCTATTCGATTCTAACCCACTGATCAATGCTGTCAACAGCCCTCCCTGAATGGCCTTGTTTGAGAGGAATCTCTCCCTTATACGAGCCAAGTTCTGTGTCGAATGACGGCCTGAAACATGTTTTGCTCGGTTCCAACTTCGAACTCTGATCTGATCTATCCCTTCTGCCAGGTACCACAAAGTGGGTTCATCGAAAATGCCTGGACCAATGGCGTGCTAATGGGCAGGGCAGAAGGACCTTTACACATTGCCCCAACTGCCAGTTTGCTGCTCGGTCTGGATTGCCTTGATCGGTGACACTTACATGATTTTTGGATGCGCATAGTGTGACCAGGGCTGGCTCGACTAGGGATGCAATTCCTTGTTGGAGGTTCATGACGCAGTATCGATTTCCCAGTGAAGTCAGCCAATCAATGAAGCAAGAGTATATGCAAACGTCCAATTTGTGTCAATTCATGTGTGCAACCACGCTCATCGCTCATCAGCTTACTCCAAGGCCTCCTATGAGTATAGCAATAGGGTAGGCATCACATTTGGGCACTGCAGGCGTTTCAAAATATCGTCAATTTGGTTTAGATATCTACAATGGAGTTGGGGAGCCAGTGGTAAACATCCCCAGTTGCCAAAGAATACACCTGTGAAAACTAGCGAACTCCAAATTTGCTTGTTAAGATCATCTTGCCGGGTTCTATTAAAAACATATATATATATTATACATAATATATATTTTATGTGTTATATGTATAACATATATAATATTGGCATACATAATTAATATATCCACAGACATGGTGTAGTTTTTTGAGTGTATCTATCCGATCCTGTGGATGATCTGCAGCTGAGCTTCCAGCCTCAGAAGGATACCGACACCTTTTCAAATCGGGTGTTCACGCAACTGATTTTGGTGTTGTGCCATCTACTTTGCACCCACACCAGTCTTCTTTCGTTCTCCGGGATCCTCGCCTAGACTTTTTGGATTTGAGAATCGGCCTAAAACATCCTAAAACCAGAATAGTTCCCATATAGTCACATGGGTTTGGGCCCGTCTTCACACCAATCTGTCCTGGACTCCCGTGTGTCCGGACCCACCGAGGCCTACCTCATGCAGCTGGTCCGCGCTCCCACGGAGCACGAGCAGCACCTCCGCGAGCGGCGCCGGAAGTTGCTGCGCCACGCCGTGGCTCGGTGGAAGTTGGGCGATCGAGGGATCCAAGGCCTTTCAGGATAGGTCGGTGCATATTTGGTGGGTATCTTAGGGGCAACAGGTAGTCTCAAGAGAAGAGGGTGAAAGTCGATGTCGCAACTCTCAAGTGTTTGTTTCGATGTTCTTTCACACTCACTGCCATTTTGAGAGTTTCATCCATGTCACAATTTGTCATTGGCGATGGATTTACCAGTGTACCACCATGCTTACCACATTGTTGAGCACCCAATACAATGCATGTCTCCAAGGTCCTTCCAGAAATCATTGAGGAACAAACACCCCAAACTGAACCAGGACCAGATGCCGCTCATCGAAACAGATTTCGTTCATTGAATCATGGATATGTTCAAACTCGTCATCAGCGTCTGGATCAGCGTCTCGTCAAGTCATTGAGTCTCGTTGGTTCCCAGGTGGGGACCTTCGTTCTGGGAGCCTTGCTAATCCAACTCCTGCTCATCCTAGTGGCCATAGTCATCAGGCCAGTCGTGTGTTTCACGGGTCGAGTCGGGACGAGGGCGTCGGAGGTTTCACGGTTTTGGGCTGTGGGGGATAGGTCGAGAGTCAGATGTCGAGAGTCCACGTCGTGATCTGGGTGATTTGACCTGAATTTGGGCCTTTCTCCATCTGTGGATGAGCCTCGATGACATGAACTGCGACGAACGGTCGGACCTGCGAAAGAACATCGTCGCCAGGGCGTTGGATCCGGAGGAAGGTCTGGTGGACATGATGCCCTTCTTCCAACCGAAGCTCCCAGACGCTCCGTCCGAAGCATGTGGCGTCGCAGGTCAAGCGGCGGCGGTTTTTGTTTCGGTTTTGGGTCGGCGAAAAGCCGGGGAAGTTGGGGGGAGGTGAGGTGGTGGAGTTGGATTGATTGGTTTTGCCAGGTGCTCGTAATCACAAGGAGTACGTTTCAATTTAATTCAAGGGACGTTGTACTGGATCGAACTGTTGTTTTTCAGATTTCGGGTCCCCCAAGTTGGAAGTCAAGATCGAAGTCCTGAGACCTGAGACTCGGTCGCCTGACACGGTGGCCAAGCATCATGGCTTAGACAGTGGCTTAGATAGCTATTCCTTGCTTGGCCGACGCACTGCACACATCCGTGAACACATCCGAACGTGAACAGAGCACGCTGAGGACGAACGTGGCTTTTGGATGGCCTTCCGCTATCACAAATCCACCTATTACTTCGTCCCTTGGAAGCACTGATGACCAAGGCAAGGATCACTACGGCATTGGCCATAGGTTGCTCTCAGAGAGCACATGAGGAGAGTCAGAAGGAGTGTGGGTTGATGATTATCCGAAGGAGGATCAACAACCACCCATGTCCGCGTTCCATGTTGGTTGACTTGCTTTCTTTTCATTTTGTTACAATCTTTATCCCTCCACATCCACTGCAACTCTGCGAGCGCAAAGGTCTTGAGACTGATTGGATTTGACGGGTTCATCGATGTTTATAAATAGGTCTCCCATGGTCTCCCCAAATCCCTACCACTTCGAAAGTTCAACTCGCACAGTCTCCAAGACTGATCGCGTCCGTACCAGAACCATCCGTTTAGGTTCACTGATGGAATACCCTATACACAGACTGGATCTCCTGAATCTCCTACAATCTGCTACATTACATCCGGGTGTCAAACACCCGTGGAATGGTGCTGGTTGGTCAACATAAGATCCTCACGATCCTAACAAGATTCTGATCCTTAATCCACCAACCCACAACAACGGAGAAATCACATGTTCTTCCAACACCCGTGGCCTTCTAAAAGAAGTATATGCCAAGCAACATACAACAACCACGCCAGAGTTTGGATGGTCTAGTTGTTCCACCAACGAAACACCGAGCTTTCCGTGTACAAATAGACCTCCCCAACGAAAGACCTCCCCAAACCCCGGCTGCCGGCAGCACCGCCAACCCCGAGGCCTCGGTCATCTTTTGCCTCGCCGTCACAGGTCTTTCGGCCGCTAGGCGGTTCAGGTTGATGTCGGTTCAGCATGCTAACAGGACAGCACAAATCTGGGATGTGGCTCCGTGATGCCTACTTGTTTGTGATGCCGTTCGCACGTTCCTTGCTTTGTTCAAGCAATTCCACCCGGAACGCAGATGTACTTCGTGGCTGCCTAGATCCTCGTCTTCACTCTCATCCGTTGCTGTGTCATTCCCCGCAGCTTGATGGCACCCAGCGAATGTTGGACGGAGCTCTGAAATGAACGAACGATCTACAGTATTCAAAAAGGTCCTGCGGAACCCAGTGAAACTGGGATGAAATAAGCCATTTGCTTGTGACGTCTCAGTACTAAAAGACTGGGCAGACATTCCCTAATACAGATTGCATGTTTATCGACTGATTTAGTTTTCTGCTCTGAATGGCGGGCCACCACACAGTGCACCAGATTGATCGGGGAAATTCATTGTGGGTCCCTGGTTTGTTGTCAGATCAAACGTTCCAGCAGTTCTTTCGTAAGTGTTTGGCTGCTTCCTGCTTTCGCTGATTCTTTGTCAATGCAGATAGGGTTTGGCATATGGTTCGAGACCTACAGCATTCCAAACTGAAAGAAATCCAAAGATGCGGCAGAATGACCAGCCCACCCAAGCGAACATCATTTTCTCGTCTTTGACATGTACAAACCTCTTCTCAAAGAATGGGTTTGGGGCATCCCCACCACATGGCCCCGATTTTTCCATGGATTTGGGGTAGTTCCACTAACCATGCGCATCCAGACTCAAGTCGCCTCGGGATTCCCATGCGGCTCCGGCTCAGGAGCGCGTCCAGCTCCAACGTGCTGCGACATGTGCTGCTGGGATCCATGTCCGTGCCTTGGGAGGATTGGCTTTCTCTGTGGTGGTGTCCAATATTTTGTGTTCAACCTTCACTTGGGATGATTGATCTACCAGTGAAATGGGGGAAATGACAAATAGATGCAACTGTTCAACCTTCACTGACTCAAATAGATGCAACATGATGCAAATGGATGCAAATGGGTTGAAACCAACTAAGCAGCTATTCCTTTTCAGCACCGGGTAGTAGGCTGGTTCGTCCATAGGGCTGTTTGAAGCATACAACAAATCAGCACTGGGCCTTTCAGTATAACAATCAGCACACCCACACAATCTATCACACCAGCAGATCAAAAGCCAAAGATGCCATTGGTGCAGTATGAGACTCTGGGGGGTTTGTTGGGTGGGTTTGAAGACCTACGCGGTCCCAGCTTCCAACCACACACCAACTTAAAGACCACTAGCAGTGTCTCAGCTTCCAGGCAGATTTGGTATTACATGTCCCCATCATGCTCGTTGGGAGGGTGTTTGACATGTTCTGCCCTTTTCCCCGTGTTCCTGATCCCAAAAATCAAAGAGTGATCGCAGGACACCAAACATAACGGTCTATGTTGGGATTCTTGAGCAGAACTTTTGGAACGTTTCACCAATGGTGGAGCACCTGATCAAGAAGCTCAAGAGCGGCTTATCCCGCGCCCTGTGGAAGTCCAATTGGACACCGCCAGAACGGGCACCAAATGAACCAAGGTACAATCGTGGATACGGCGGCCCTTACGTCTACGTCCACGGTGACACGCGTTGTTGCGTTGATTGCCGCTGGGCACGAGGCTATAAAGAAGAGCTTGCAGGTCCTCAATCCATCCCTTGTGAACCCCAATCAGAGGATTCCAAGACCATTGAAAGAAAAGGTTGACCTGTTTTTGCTGACCTGTTTTTGCAGTCGAGAACTATCTAAAACTACTGACATAAAGGCCAATATATATAGTTTGTATAGTCCAAGAAAAATCTGTGTAGTTCGCTATAAACGTGGGACCGTTGGACAGCCGTGGAATGCACCTTTCGGAATGTGAGTTCACAGTGCGGACCAGTGGAGTGAAGTCAGCCGTATGACGGGGTAAATGAGCTAGGAAGCCTTGAAGGGAAAATGGATGGCAATGGCCAATTTTTTCGACAGCAACAGGGGCCTTTTCCAGTGACGACATTCCAGACTCGAATTCCATTTCTCTTTCTGCGACGGTGCGTATGCTTGCGTATGGTTCTTTTTGCGTCAGTTCAACGCCTTTTTACTTGCGACCGTGCTGGAGTAGAGCCTTTCTTTTGAAACTTCCGCCACTCGCCTTGTGCGAGGACTAGTAGTGGTAGTAGTACTGTAGTAGGAGTAGGAATAGGAGTAGTAGTAATAGTAGCAGGAGTCGTCGAGAGTTCATGGACAGAACCCTCTACCTCGCTGTAGTGTCCACAGTGTAATTGATGATGGATTTTGTTCCATCCGTACAGGAGATTTGAGGGTTTGATTGAATTCTCCAGGACGTCGAGGTGATTTTCAAGTCCATGGTGGAAATCCAAGCACCTCGGGTCAGTAGTCAGAATGGTGGGAACCGCATGCCTGAGGCTGCAATGCCTGCTGTCCAGACAGCCGTTCATCGCTGCTCGACCCTGAAGAAGCTCCCCTTTGGTGACATAGTGCTTGCAACAGTCAATGAATGGCTTCACGAACGGAACTAATGAGGAAAAGACATTTGGAATTCAAAAGTCTAAATTGTGTGAACTGATCGCACTCATTGTGACAGCACTGAGATCCCTCATGTGTTTTAGGTCTGTTGTTGGTGCTATTGGTGTTTCTCTCGTCTCGGACGTCTTCCATCGACTCGTCAAACGATGACGGGTGGATCAATCACTGGGTTCGATCCGCGGCCGCAGACGCGGCCGTCAGATCTGAAGGGTTTGAAGGTCGGTACGAGTCGGAACAAATAGAAGTTCACGCCCACGGGATGCGAGGGATTTTTCGTGGGCCGGCCGCAGGGCCATTTGGAGGTTGGTCCAGATCCAGCAAGTTAGTGAGTTGAGAAAAACAAGGAAAAACACAGTCCAAATGAAAGACCAGCTGTCACCGTGGCCATGTAGGCCATGTAGGCCATGCGCCAGTCGCAAGACATTCCCCATTGATCCCCTTATTGTACTATAGCCATGGAACCACCGTCAAATGGTGTTTGCCTCAGGAATGATTGCTTATCTTTGAGACGAAGCGTTTGCTGAGTAAGGCAGCTGCACATACCATCCATACCTGTCCAGATTTGGGTGCGAATCAACACCACAGCAGTCGTTCGTGTCGAACATTCTGACCAACAAATTTTGGTTAATTTGCGGTTCATGATTCATAATGTTTCATACATGTTCTGACCAAAATGAAATGGTGCCTATAATACCGTTTTCATGAAGGAATCCAACGCACGGCTTTGTCACTAACTGACCGAGGAATTGCATGCCCAGCCCTTTGGCGGTCAGCTTTGGCGCTATTGGAGCTGGTTTAATGGGTTTAATTCTGGGGCCATCCAAGCATATCGTACGAAGTTTGTGGCCAACGGGGACCGACTCTTCATTCTGGGTGGCACCGGGTCCGAGATGCTTTCGGTGAAGATGTTCTCGGATCATCAGTGGTATCCCTGATTGTGAGTGAAGCCCCACACAGTATCACACAGTATTTCGTGTACAAGTGCGAGGACGATGTTTGATGAGAAGCCCCTAAAATAGGAACATTGTTGTCAGACCCAAGGGATATGGCAAAAACACCAGGACCAGATGTGTTATGATATGGCTTTTGGAGGTAACAGTTGCAGTACGCAGCGTAGTAAGAAATATTTTGGTACCCCAATAGTCCATACCTATACATGCCTGTACCAATAGTCCATACAATTATATACAATACATGCCTATACCTTGGGTCTATCCTATTACCTGTAACAGTGGATGATGGTTAGTAGAGGCCTTGTCCAAAAAAGTGATATTTTTTTACTGACTGTTACAGGTAATAGGACAGACCCAACCTATACCTAAGATTGATGTTGCTTGTGGCCCTGCCAATGTTGGGGAGGTGTAAACCTTTTTCATACGAATCCTTGAATTTCCCAAAAAGTGCACGTCGGACAGTTGCCGAAGCTTATTCTTCGTTCAACATGCATAGAGGTGACATGGAGTTGCTTTCTCAGCCTGGTCGAGGCAGATCCTCTGATACTGTAACAGTTCTCGTAGGTTACATTGTATGACCAAAGCTCATGCTGGACCCTGAGGTAGTGGTGGAGGCGGCAGCAGCAGCGGCAACAGCAACAACAATGCAGCCGCTGCCATTGCAGTGGCTGAACGAGAAATTGGAGATTGTCGACACAAATAAGACACGACACGCCAACAACAACATTTGTTCAAGGGCAGCATGGCATGCTGATCATGCTGCCAGACAGAGGACCTGTTGGTAGGTTTGTAGATTCTCTTCATCTACACCGACGCATCACATAGAAGTGGAAAATGGTCCGTTGGACCACTACTTTCCTCTACTAACAAAGGTGATTCCATGTGAGTGTTTTTCGGAGTGGAGGGGTCTTTGTCTCATCGACCTCATCCACCTCATCCTCATCTCATCGACCTCATCCGTCTCCTCATCTCATCGACCTCATCCGACACGCCCACGTGATGAGTCCTATAAACACCAACGCCCATCCTCAAACACGTCTTTTTTGCTAAAATCTTCTGTAGACTGGCCTGGTGTTCCTTCGCCGCTGGAGGTTTCGATCATATGCTTTAATGAATGTGTATCGGAATAAGTTCTATGGGTGGAGATAAATATTAAGGGTTCATCAATGTAGTCGTGCAAAATTTGATTTTGTTTACAGGAAATTCCTATTTTACACGGTAGTCGAACCAGGACGCTACTAGGGTCTCCTGGCATCGCTACTAGGAGCGAGGACGCTACTAGGGGCTCCTGGCCGTACTAAGAGCAAGAAGCTACTAGGAGCTCCTGGCATCACTACTAGGAGCATTGGAAATTCCTATTTTCACGGGAGTCGAACCCTTCAAATTTAAATCGTCCAATGGATCGTCCGTATTTGACGGTCCCGAACTTCCAGTTGGTGCTGATCATCATCCTGGCGCTCATCGGCATCTTCTTCCTTATGGCCGCCCTGGCCCCCCGACCTCGAGTGATTCTGGTGATCCTGTCGAAAGGAAGAGGAAGATCATTCATACTATAGGCGTTGGTAGATTGGCCACTCCTGATAAGAAGGGGGTTGTAGTATGCAACATTGAAACATGTTCCAGGAATTGAGGGATGAAATCGAAAGAGATAGAGTTCGGAATTGTTAAGTTAGAACTTTTCTATATTTTGTGGTGGATTTTGAGACAGAGAGAGAGAGACAGAGAGAGAGAGAGAGTGTGTTTTTCTCCGGCATTTCTCCGGCTCATCGGCGCTTGCTTGTGGTTCAGGTTTTCTCGTACGCACACCAGTCGGTTTTCTCGCTCAGTCGGAGCTCGGCCGAGGTGACGTGGATCCAAAAAGTCTGGGCTCGCTATATGGCCTTGAAGGAGACGTGGGAGCGTTCCTGAAGGGCGAGCGATGTTTTCTTCGACCTGATAAATCAAAGTCAGTTTGTAGGTTGAGCGATGATTCTTCAAGTTGTTTCATTAAGAAACAAGGAATATATTACAATTGTAATATAACATATATATTTTGACTGAGTTGCCTCATCCCAATTCAAATTCTGGAATATAGCAGAGAGGGGCGCTGAAAAGAAAGCCTGCGCCAAAAGTGGGCACGTGTACTTATCATGTATATAACGTTGAATTGTGAAGCCTTCCATACTCTTCAAGGGACAAGGTGTCGGAACCCGATTCGGGGTTCTAGCCGTCTCATGAGATGTCACTGTCAAGGATGGAAGGGTTTATATCACGTTACATGAACTTGGAGGAATTTGGGACTGTAGCTTGGGTTTCTCCCGTTTGGGTGAGAAGGTGTGGGGTGACCCCAATTTGATCTTGAACTAGAATTACCTGCAGAACAAGACCAACATCGAAGCTTTTCCTTTGCAGCTCCGTAGTGACCAGACCTGTCGTGGATGACGAGTTTGATGACCTGCTGATTGTATCTCCACTGCAGACTCATGTTCAGCTCCATGTCGCAGGTCCACGTAGCACTGTGGCGCACCGTGGCCCAAAAACGTGGCAGGAGCTTCAGGAACTCACGGGAGAGTACATCGTGCAGGACAGGTTTCAGGCGACACTGATCCACACTACCTTTGGGCTGACTCACTTGGAATTCTTGGAACTCGTCCTGGGCGGCAGAAGATTGCCGGAGGCGGGTGTGTATTAGAATAGGGAGGCACCCCCTAATACCCTCAACCGATTTTCAGATGAACCATGATGAACCCAAGTCACATTCAGGTTTCACACAAAACATTCCTGGAGTACCAATGAGGGTCTTTTCAGTAATCAGAAATGGATCTTCTGTCACAAGTGGACAGGGAGGCCTGACTACATTGTCACAGGATGACTGCATAAACACTTCACTCCATAGCTGAGCCATGGTGGTTTCCGAATCGTCACCAGTGACACCACGACCAACCGCAGGACTCTCCCATCTTCATGTTCATCTTCAGCACCCTTTGCACCCTCCGTCCCGGTGGGGGGGTTGACATCAGTCCCCGTCGATGCCGCGACCGTCTGTGCGAAGGACCTGGCAGAGTTGGAGAAGACCATTGGAAAGGTCCGAGGGAACGGAAATGCAACTGCGACGCGGTCGCTCCCGCTTGTGGTGGAAGAGACATAGGATGCACTTGTTAGTAGCGATGCCCTTTGGTTTCGACTAGCTTCGTGTTCCTAGTAGTAAGGCCCTTGCTCCTAGTAGCGATGCCAGGAGCCCCTAAAGAGAAGGGATGCTTTTCGGGGCACTTCCTGGAACATCTGAAAAATGAGCATTCTACGGCTACCACGTGGAGCCCAGAGTCGTAGGACTGGATGTCGAAAAATTGAAGGATAGAGCCAGAATGGATCAGTTTTGGACACATCCACCAAATTCCCAAAGTTTTATCTTCAAACGGTTCTACTCTGGACCAAAGCTGCTGAAAGTTGGTTCGTTGCATGTCCAAATCATGAAGAAGTTACGCCACGTGAGTAATCACATATAATCACTTATATAGTATGCACAATTCATTGCCAGCAGCTCAGGTGGTGTGGATTGATTCAAGGGGGTCAAAATCAGAGGCCACACCAGAGGTTTTGTTGACACATCCAGTAGAAGTGCATCGGCGAACCATACAATGTGTGGAGTCACATCGGGGTTCTGGCGTTGGCAGCTTGGGATATCACGAGTTGCTGCGGGATGAGAGTGTCTATGGGATCGAATTGGTCAGGACGACCATGTCAGGTTGAAGATTTGGTCTACCCGCATATGTCCTGATCATGGCCCTCAACCTCAAAGGATTGAACAAGACATATGCGGGTAGACACTTTGAGACACCCTCAGCAATTTTTGCTGATATTTACACGGCATGAGCTGGATCTCAGAACAGCCAACCTTTTCAATCTCTTTTATATATACTGTATCACTGTATCAAACATTCTTCTCCCCAAGACCGATTTTCAAGAGCACCAAAAAAGATCAATACAGAAGACCACCCCGCAATTCCAACAAACATCCTTTACTATATTATACCGGCCATCCACGGGGTAGAAGCCACACTTTCTAAGAGAAGAGCCCTCCGTGGCCAGGTCGATGTGGAGCAGGGCACAGCGGTGCCCGGCACGGGCGACGACGAGGTGCCCTCCGCGCCGCCCTTGTGGGTGCCGATGATGCCGCAAGAGGCACCGGTGCGCGGTGGGATCCAAACGGTGGTGTTTCTCGGTCGAAACGGCGGAGACTGCGGAGGAGCCACACAGCCCATACCGCCCATACCCATCACCTTCTTGGGAGGACGTACAGCTTCCAACATCCGGAGTGAATCATCCACAAGCTATGCCATTCTTGGTGATTCAGGACACCACTGAGGTAGGTTACTATACATGAGGTGATTGAGGACCAAGAATTCCTTGTCCTTCACAGACATGGTGTTGACATGTATTGACTCAGAAATAGACCCAGGCAACATGTTTGAATTGTATTGCCAGGTAATTTATTTCCTGAGTGTTTGTTTTCTATTGCGGAAGCCATACGATGCAAGCCTCGGAGATTCAGAGATGCATGCATGTCACAGAGGCTGTGTTTTTTCTATTTGTGATTTTATTGGTGTTCATGTAGGACAGATCTCCTTGTTTTCCAGGTGTCCATGTTTTCTCTAATCCATGAGTTCTTCACCTGGACTGGCCACCCGTCCTTGTAACCGGTCATCGTTTCACCCCGATAATATGGGTGTTCGGAACGAAAAGAACCAGTGCGAAGGAACGAAGAGTGGCAGTGTCTTCGCGCCATTCAGGTGCAAAGCAATCTCTCCCGAGATTTGCAAGCAGTGTATCTTGGAGTTGGGCGTGGGAAGGAGATCAGGCGTTTGGCGGGTGGGTGAGTGCCTCAAGAGGGCGGCGTTTGGCGGGTGGGTGAGGCTGAGGGCTCAAAGTCACTCTTGCGGGCGGCTACACGAGCAACATAGCTGTCATACGCGTGTTTTCCAGGTGGTTTTGCCAAGGTATTTAGGATGCCGCCCGTAGTAACGTAGTAGGCATTTGGTGCTGATTCACCGGTGCATTTGACAGAACACTGGGCCTCCACAAGAGTATCAAGAGTTCATAGCAAGCAAGCCATGCAGTGGCCACATGCAACAAAGCTGAGCTCAGTCTTCAAACAGATCATCCAGTAGATTATCAATTTTGTTTGGTCCAGGTGCTAGGGTACCAGAGTGTTTCATCACCTTGTCCACACACCCTGGTGAAAACTAGTGATCAAATGAAATGGGTACAAGGTAGTTCAAGGTAGAAGGCTGGTCAATTGTGTGCTAGTTTTCCAACGGCGTTCTACCTTTGCGATCGTTGAGTGTGCAACCCCGACAAAGCTGAAGAGCACATCCCGTGGTTTGGTCCGGCTGCAGACCACATCCGTTTCTGGTTTTTGCACACCAATGGCGTTCCACATGTGGTTTGTACACTGCCCTGGTTTTGGCTGAAACTGTCACAGATGAAAACGCTGTCACCGGAGTACCCGGGAAGTCTATTTGTTCTGCGGTTTCGGGGAGATTGTGTTGCGACCTTGGGCATACCAAAACTTGGACTATCTAAATTTACCTGGACAAAAAGCAGCTCCGCTCCACTTTCCATTTCCAAGAATTCAATCCACGAGAGCAAACCAAAGAAAGAGAGGAGCTTCCAGGATGCTACGAGTCCATCCACTCTGCCTTTTGGGCCCATTTGCCTCAGGTATGGCTATCAGTCCTGAGCGCCCTGCCGCCACTGCGCCGATTCTCGATCGTCGCTAGGACGTCGACTCGGCAGCGGGGGTGTTTCAGCTGAAAGAAAAGCGCACGAACTCCGCCCACGAGAAGTAAGCGGAGAAGTGAGTTCTTGGTCTCACACCCTGGGTGGTGCTTGGTACAGTACGAGTCCGTTCTTAGACATGGCGGTTCAGGGACCGACGGTTGGTTACGACGGTCCCCATGGAGACAGTGAGTGGGGGACATTTGAAGATCCAAGAATTTCAGACTCAGCTGTTCATTTCTATATCTTGAAAAGCAAGTGAAACGGATCACCTCCTAGAGATCTAGAGCAAGAAACTTGGGTCGTTATTTTTCAAGAGTTTCTCTTGAGATTTGCATCAGGTCTCCACCCAGCAATCCATTTTGAGATTTGCGTTTGTGCAGAACTCAAGTGCACCATGTGCAGGAGGTGCTTGCTGTTTACTTGGCTGAAAGCCATGCCGGTCTCGAGTCAAGCGTTTTTGCGCTGGATGCGAGAGATTTGTGCATGCACACGACTCAAAAGGGGGAATGTGACAATGAAGAACTGGGGAGTCAACATAAGTCAGGAAGTGAGGCAATTAAATGATTTTGTGATGTATATAAATGTATGTACATATTGATGGACACTTATAGCCAGCCTGGAAAAATAGATGCTGTAACAGTGTAAGTGTAACATATTGTACGAGAAGATGTTGCGCGAATGATTCTGGAGTAGGATGGCTACTTGTATGCCTTGACTGTCCTTGACAGCTCAATGTTCGTGGCTGACCATTTGAGTTCGAGTCGGATGTCATGTTTCGTTAATCTGAGGCACACTGCTCTCAGAAATATCGGTCCCCTTGACAGAAGTAGACTCAAGAGACACCAACTTCGCTGGCGTCGTGAACCGCCGGTTTACGCGGGTTCGTGTGACCACCGAAACGTTTCTGTCTTAGCTCTTGCACACAACCTGTCAGGGCGAGGATGGATATCTCTCCAAGCACGACCCTCACGAGGACCCGTCAGGTCGTTGGATGGTCTACATAGACCCTGGGACGGAAGCCGCTCCTGTCTCATGCGGAAGATTGGGAATGCCTAATGGACGTGAAGAATTCAAACGTTTTGCATGATCTTACTATATTGTTACAATATGTTAGGATAAGTTCTGTCCGACAAGCAATCTATAGGTGACCAGGTAGTATTTGTTTGGGGTTCTCTAAAGATGCCGTTTCTATCTATCTCAGCCGTCGGCTTCGGCCAGGGAGTGGTTTTGATATGCTCCGGTCAGTGGCTCTCTACCAGGTTCTACTCATTTGTACCCAGGTTCTACTAGGTGCACCCAGTTGCTTGTATTCTGGAGTTGTGACTCTTGGAAAGTGCAATCATATAGCTGTTACATATTGGATTGAGAACACCCACAGATATGGAGCCACAAGTACGTTGCTGCACCAAGCCTTGGCCAAAAACAAAGAACATGAACTCAAAAACCACGTAAGGACGGAGTCGTTCACCATAAATGGCGCTGCCCTTCAAAAAGCCTTGTCCATAAAATCAATTTGTCAGTGATCGCTGAAGTTGCTCCAGGTTGGGTCTCCCTTCTCATGATAATAGCTTGGTGTTCTTGTTGTTCACCTCATTGCGAAACCCCACCAGCACCAGTTTAGGTCCCTCCCTCACGCAGCCTTCATGAATGCAGCCCTGTGCTTCCCCAAAATGGCTCCCTCAGCTGTTCAGAGCACCCTGGCCCATCAACCCCCCCCTTCAGAATTGAAAGAATTGCTATCACCCTGTGCCCCACCTTGGGCTGCTAGTGCGTCAATCGAGGGAAGACAAACACACCACGCCGTTCATCGCGCGCTATGGCCGCTTGCATGCGCGAAGCCGTGCCACGTGGCTCATGAATCTTCCATGAGTGGAGCCTCCTTCAACGCATGACTGTGCCAGGCCTCACCCTGAGAGGAAGATACAACCTTGCACGACTATCCTTGCATGCCACTTTTTTCCGGGGATGAGGATCACCATCTGCTCTGTGGCCGAGCAGCTGTGTTGGAGCCGTATGCACATGCGCACGGGTGTGCAAGGCACAATAGTATTGAGTCAGCGCCCCCAAATTCACAATAAGAATTTCGATTGAACAAAGAAGCTTTTGCATAGTAGCATAGTGGCATAGTGGAGCGTCTTGAGAGGGAGACATGATCAAACAAATCATATAGAACTTGAATGCTCCCAGAAGTACAGATGTCTATTTCACAGAAGCCATGTTGAGAAAAAGTACACGGACACTGACTATAAATATATTGTATAGTTTGAGCAGTTCCACATGTACAAGCCTTCAGCTAGAATGTTCCCTACGTCATACTCTAGTCAGTTCACTGTTTTCCACTGGACACCATGCTGATGCAGCCGGCCAGCTTTGGTTTCCCAGGCAGCGGCGGCGGAGGGTGAGGGTGAGAGATTCGTCCCCCAAGCAGGGGAGACTGACAGACAAAATCCTGAAGGAAAAGATACAGTACCCAAACACTCCATGTATGCCATTGGTTTTGGGGGGTCAATGTAGGCATATATGGCATACATGGAGTGTCTGGGGTACTTGTAGTTCAAAAAAAAACATGAGCCTCTTAGCCAGCCAGTTGATGAGTTGCAATGTCTCTCACTTTCCACATACCATTTGGTTCACCGGTGTATCCTCATGTACTGGTAGATCGGCATTCTTGTGATACCAATACTCTAAGAATCTCCAAGCCTAGACTCGTGCCTAGACTTTGAACAACGGCATCAGTGTATGACAGTATATGGACCTGCAGGAACTGGAACGAAAGCCTTTTGGCAGCATCTCATCAGATTGCTGTTTTGGGCATGGCATGTTGGACATGTGGATCATGGAGTCATATAATGCCAGCATCACAGATAATTATGTGTCAACATGAGCGAGGCCTCAACTAGTGGTTTGGATACTGTTTGTTTTCTTTTCTCAGTTTGTGCCTTTTTTTTGTCGGAAGACTGATCGACAACAGTTGGTTGGATGCTGACCGCACCCCGAGAAAGTGTTTGTCCAGTTGTTGAACTGTTTGGCATTCTTCACATGGTGAAGACAACGTTCATGGGCCATACGTTTGGGTGAAAAGCAACCCACTTTTATTGAGGCATGCTGTTGTCATGGCACTACCGGGGCCATACTGCTTGTAGGTTACCTGTGGGAGCCATACGTTTAGCTCAGTTGTTTACAGTGCTCCTTGGTCTTTTGGCTTTGACCGCTCTGAACAAAAAAACCTTTGTAGGTCCAACGCTGTTGGTTTTTGTGGAGAAGCCCTTCAGTGGCGCCTTTCTCTTTTTCACAACTCCTTTGTTGCGACCAGGTGTCCTTGGACTGCTTCTTTTGCTGTGGAGGCAAGGGTTTGTATCGGCAGCTCTGGAGCAGGAGGAACCATCGACCAGGACTTGGGTATGTACAGTGACTGAAAAGAGTAGATGGCACAATCGGCAAAAGGTGGTTGGAAAGGACCCCCACATAAAGGACATCTTCGGGTTTGTGGCATCTACTCTGAAACCGCTGTATGATGTTCAACAAGATACTTTTGGGGACATCAGGCAGCCTGCTAGCAGAGTGTTGACTTTTGACTTAGTAAACCAATCGGACATCCTTACTTCTCAAGGCTGAATCAATCGGACACCCTTCTTACAAACTCGTGCCAAACTCGTGCCTTACAGCAAAGTGGACAGCAAGACAGGACCTCCAGTCTCCAGATGGTATGAACATGTAAGAACCTTCTTGCAGCTGTTTCAACCTTGGGACAACACGCTACATGGTCGACAGCTTTCGACCGCTAGATCAGGATCCACCCATACTATGCTTCTATTGCAAGCCACCAATCAAGCTCAAGTCACCATATGCAAACCCATTTTCAGAAGTGAAAACACCTGGGTTCACTTCGGAACATGGGGTCACTCACTCCCTTCCATATCTTGGCGCTGGCTGTGCACCATGTGTGGCGCTGCCTGCCACCCGAGCCGGTCATTGGTCGAAGCCGAAACAGACACCGCAGCCGCAGGGGACTTGGTGAGCCCAACCCTCCGGAGTGGCCGGAGACGGTCTACATTTATGGCCCTGAGGAGGGGAAACCCAAACGCGGAAGTTCCGCACTCATGTGGGAGTCGCAGAGTTCCGCTCCTTCCATGCATTTGAGACTCAACCAAATCCGCCAGATTTCGACCCCCCCCCCCCTTTGGGTTTGAGGCAGTCGTTTTGCCAGGTTTTCTTTCGGATGGCCGATGTGTTGTGCCACAGTACGACCATGGGCTGCATGACGCCGTCGTTTGGTACCGACCGGACCGCAGGATGCATCGGAGCGGAATTTGACCGCCGAGATCGCCGAGCTCTTGCGGGAGCTCAACAACGTGGCTCGATCTGAAGACGAAACAGGAAGCTGGATGACAGACCTGTAGTATAGGAGTTGGCCGGGTTGGCAGATGCAAGAGGTTCCGCACAATTGCCCAGAGTATTTCTTGTGAGATCTGTTGTACAGTTTCATTCCAGACTCGCTCACCTGGCATCAATTCCACGTCCCGAGATCGATTCTTTCCACTTCACGTATACAAACCCCACTGCTCTCTCGTCTGACCGAACCGCGCCGAGGTCTCGACCGGGCACTACAGCTCGGAGCGCAAGGCCCTGCTCTTCAAGCCCGGCAGCTACGCACCGTGGCCACAAATCCCACGCCTGCCGAGCCGCCAGCGGGGTTGAGATGATTTTAGGGTGGGAGGAGTGGTTGAGAGGTTCTTAATATTTTTTTTGTTTTGGTGCTTTTTTGGAGAAGCCACTGATATCTCCCTTTGAAGCATTTTGAAGCTATGACATTTCTTGTTCCAACAAAGCATTTGCCGGGGTTTCTTGGTGTTTCTTGTGTACAGACTTTGATGGACTGATTTTGGCAACATGGAGCTCCCACGCAGATGGTCAGCCAGTTAAGACGGACTCCAATGCAAGGACCACACGAAACCCGAGCCACAATGGTCTTTTTGACCTGGGGAGTCGTCCACCCAGTGGTCATCTCAGATCACGTCCAGATCCGAGGATGTGGAGGTGGAGGTGGGCTATTATGTGCAAGTCCTTGGACTTGGACGACATCCAAAGGATGTCTCCTTCACCAGCAGGCGGATCCAAGGAAACCCAATGACGAACCAAACTTCACATGAGGCGAAATCGGGTTTGGACGGTTTCTTAATGTTTCTTGTTTATTTGGATTCATATCAATGGGTCATTGGCTTGGACTGGTGGGTGAGGTTGGGGTATGCCAGCACCACCCAAACCACCCAAACCTTCATCCGCAAATGTTTTAACGCTCGCGTGGACTCCTGCAAGCTGCGCTGGAATAGCCTTCTTCATTGATCTTTTTTGGTCATGTAATTATAGGGAACCCATTGGGCTGGAATAGCTGGACATCAGAAGACTGAAAACAGCCGCCCCGGTAGTTGTACGCCTGCCGGAATATAGTGATAGTCAGTGCAATGAAGATCTCAGCAGGTTTGCCAATGATGTGCGAAACACCGTGAGATACATCAAAATACCATACAGCAACCCTCCAAATGGATACTGAAAGCCAGAGCGAAAGCCAAAACAAATGTCACCTTGACACCGAAGTTGTATAATCAAATCATATCAAATCTGTCCTTTCTTCCAGTTCCGCAGCGTTCGCTCTAATCCTTGTTTCCAGGCGCGGTGTCTTCTCACCGCCCATGGGGGAATCCCCTGACCCAGGGTCCTTGGACAACTTTTGGCCACTTGGATGAGCTGGGAAAGTCGGGGAAGACCGCTCTTGAGTTCTTTATGATTCTTTATGTATTTTCCCACCGGCGTCCGGTGGGGCCAAGTCGGAAGATTTTGGGGTCAAGGCGTCAGCGGAACTGAATCCAAAGCGCAGGCGGATCAGTCGATGGGAATCTCCTGATTTTGAGGTCCAAGCAAGTGGGAGTCCACCATTGGGAGGGTTCCTGATTTTGAGACAAAGGATTTCAAGCAGCAAGATGTCGGTGTCTTGGAGGGATTAGAAAGTTTAGGTGAATCAGATGCAGTAGTGAAAGTCTGGTGGTTCATCCTTATATTCAATAAACCCGTGCACGGGACTTCGATTGGTCTTGCAGCGTATGTCAAGATTCGCCAAGCGCTCATGTTTTAGCGGTCTTTGCTAGTGTAAATTTGTTGATTGTTTGATACGGAAGTTAAGAAACATACTAGCTGCATTATGGGGCGGAAATGGGCGGAACAGCCCCAGTATTTTTGTGCATCACCCTTAGACCCGGATTGTCAAAACCATATTGGGGCCAGTGCCCCAGCGAGCAAAGCACATTGCAAAGCAAGTTTGAGCAACGAAGGAGCACTGCCCTCTGGGATCTCTGGGCCAACCACGATCATACTGGTTGAAAGCACTTCAGGCAAGGAAGGAAGGCCCGAGCCAAACCTCCGAGGTCCAGAGGTTCTGCTGACAATTGGAGCATCCCTACAACGCAAAGGCGAATCAAACATGAGGACCACATGGAACCCCAAAACCATCCAAAACCTCTGGGTTGTAGAGGACAAGGGTCGAAACCAGAGGTCAATTCTCAGACTTGCATGGGGGGTGTTGTAACTTCCAGCGACTTCCAGCTGGTCCAGAAATCCTTGGCTTCGACCTTCCGGTGTGACGTTGACCGCAGCTTCGACCTCGCATGGCTTGGCCGCCTTTGCCCGAGAAACACCTGAGGCGTAGTGCCGAGAACTTTCACCAAGCGAGCTCTGAGGGCATGTCACATGGATTGAGCGGTTTTTGGTGTTTGGGAGGTATGAAGCTGTCCAGGAGGCGAATGGGTCCACACCTCGAGTTGGGTGGTTAACTTGTGTAGATCATGAGAGTTGGTTATCGCACTTCTAAGCGATGCTGGCCTAGCCTCGGTGCAACTGGTGGGACTGGAAGATGTGCCCTAAAACAATCAACATAACACCGACAAATATGACCGTCCCATGGAGTTCATGGAGTGTTTGGGAGATGGAATGAGATGGGCCACGAACAAACCGCGCCACCATCCATCCAAACATATCAAAACACGTCGACGTCCTGACAATTTTTCCCCAACAGCAGCATGCTTTGGCGTCTTCAGCCATAGTAAAGGTTTCGGAGCAAGCCGGAGCAGCTCCCAAAGACATTCCCCCAGGTTCCCACAAGGTTCGCACAAGGTTCCAAGGTTCCCTCTTCAGAAGTGGTCTGCACAAAAGGCCACGAAAGGAGAACGGACCTGGACATGCTCAGTCTCAAGTATGCACGACACCGCAACGGTGTACATATCCGGTGGGTCCACTCAGAGGCTCAGCTAGCAAACTCAGCAAACTCTCTCTCACTAAACATGAGATGAAGCAGCTGATGATGTTCTATGACATGAAACAACGCTGGAAGATAGTGAGGGACATCCGCATGAGCTCTGCGCGCAAGCGCAAGGAACAAGGACTGGAACCTCTCAGGACACCGAGACAGTGGACGACCACATACAACAACAAATCAGAGACAACTTACAACAACAACGACAAAGCCAACAACGAGACAACATCGGCTCACTTCGGTGATTGCTTGGTTTGGTCGTGGTTTTCTTTTTGCTGTTTGAGACACTTTCCTACACAAGAATGCGAGCTAAACGCATGAGGTGGCATGCACGTTGCCACGTGGACTCGCAGCTCCGAGCGCCGACCTGTCAAGTCATTTGAGGTCCAAGAGTGAAAAGAGGAGTCAATTCGACCGCCTGCTGCTGTCGCATCCGCCGACTCCTTTCGCTTGCATATTATATATATACGTACTCTAACAGTCATCATAATTTACTTGTAACTAGGCAAATCTTGCCTGTAAGAGGAGAGATTTCCGGACCAGCGATGAATTCACATAGTTGTTGGGCTGATGTTTGTTTCTTTGTTGGGGCCGAGGGCCCTCGCAAAACTGCAAGGCCAACCAGGGGGGATTCAGTAATCAAAGTGAAGAAAGACTACTGGCGCAGGGAGCCATGTACCTGGAGTATGTTTTCCTGCAGTATCAGGGTGCCTCATAGGAAACCCAGTGTCGACCTTTGAGATGTGCTTGCTTTCAAAGGGAAAGCATGACATTGAACTGCTGACATCGCAATATGTTTAGCAGCCTGTCTATGCTCGTTGAGCTAGATCGACTCACCAGCCGCAAAGCGGATTCGCTGCATTTGATGCAAATGCTGTCGCAGGCTGCGATTAAGGGACGGAGAGTTTTGGCGGTGAGAACGGATGGGTGAGACATCTATTCCCAAATCCCTCAATTTGAAACGCAAGAGATGCAACAACCAAGGCTTTGGGCAGTCTCCCAAGCATGTCCCTTGCGGCGAGTGCACGTGGACAGGAGAGCCGGGGTAGCTGGGACGGTGACAGCCGTGCTTGACTTCAAACGCGAATACAGACGACACGAGAAACCCATATCCGACTTCAACATCTCCCGTTTTTGTAGCAATGTTTGGGGTAGACACGGACACATGTAGACATCCATCGTATTGGGAGATAGACCCCTTGAGTCAACCAGGGACTTTGGAGTTTGATTGTCGTAAAGTCCAGGGGTTCTGATTCTGTTGGCGCGGGTTCATGAGCTCAGGTGTTGCGAAAGATCCCGCATGTATCCGCATGTTCCATCATATGTCAGGGCATATGCCACTCACAATCTTTTTGGTACATATGGAGACCTTTCTGGTGCATGTGGCACAAACAACCGTCCCGGTCTCGTTCCTCGCGGCGACCGGTGCGCGTGGTACGCCGCTTCTGCGCGAGGAATCTTTCCCTTTTTGCTCCAAAGGCTTGGGCCAGCGGAGGCACTGGGATGGCGTGAAAATGCAGGCTTCTACTTTCAACTGACTTCTTTCCGTTTAGCAAGAGATTCTGTCAGTCACGCAGAAGCTGGTAGCACCTTTATTTGCTCAAGCCAGAGTCTCCCTGTTATGGGCTTCAAGTGGACCTAAGCTGGGATTCAGCAGCTGGCCCTAAGAATTTGTATTACAATTTCAATTACCTCTGCACTGCATGGTGATCGCATGGGCAAAAATCCAAGGTCCGCCTTGGATATTAGCTTTGAGGTGCTCTAAGATTGTTTATTTGATTATGTTGTTGGAAGGTGGGTGCTTTTCAGAAAACTAACGTGAGATGTGTTAAACGCTTCCAACAGTTGGTTATTTGGAAAATCTCGCAAGAGAAAGCTATTTCTGGACCAGCGAGGTAAGGGTTTAGAAGAGCTCACAACTCCTTGAGTTCTTCCGGGTATCCATTGAGGAACAAGTCCTCACAATCACACATGCTCCACAGAATAACTGCAATTTTGTTTGCTCGTCGAATAAGCATTGCCAGCATTGTCTTTTCTATGCAGATGTAGGGAGGCTTCCCTGTAGATTCACACTTTGGCGTTAGAGAAACTGCCAGAAACTGAAAGGACACTCTGGCACGTTTAACAAGTTGTTTCTTCGTTGCTTCCCGCCAGGATTCCTGGCGGATGTGCAGGTCGATGGTTACACCCGGCTGGGTGGGCAGTAGCTTGGTGGACAATCGTTACAGAATGTGTTGAATCCTTTGGGGAACCGGGAACCGAGATCCAGGCTTTTGCATAAGTCCACTGCAGCTGGGGCTGGTGGTGTTGTTTCAACATCAAATTCCCCAGAATCTCATACGAATGCATCAAAATGCAACAACTAATGCGGTTCTCCGGCACTAAATCCTTAGCCTGTTGTAGCTGTTGGACACCGATTCTACCTCTGGACCTGCAACAATTGGGTCCAAGACGGTCCTACTTTTGCTTAACACCTCTCCTTCCAGTACTGTTGAATGTAACGTTGCATGGAGACAGTGACATGTTGATGTTGGATGAATTGCACGTGCGTTTCTCGTGTGGCCATTTATTTTGGATAGCTGCGCGTGGGCGTCTTAAAAGCAGTGCCTCCAACTTCTTCTAAATGTTGGAGTTTGCATGAGTTTACTACAGTATAGACAATGTCCTGCACCACTGGAAGAACAACTGCACTTACAAACTCACGCTCCCCCTTACAATACCGAAGAGGTTTCTTTGCCTTTCAAGGTTTGTGACTATTGAATTGCGAGGTGCCCACTGTTTCAACAGCTTGGGATGGACTCGATCATCGCAGTCACTGCGAGGCAGCAATGGATCATGCGGAATGCGAACATCTCCACTCCAAGTGCTGCTTTGTTTGAAGGTTGAACTACTTATCGGATGAGAAGTAAGGGCAACAACTATGATGATTGGACTGGTGGCCCTGTTGCTGCAGATGAAGCGGGGGAGTTTCGGGGATTAGGTTTTAGGCAAATGTTGCAATCCAAGCCGTTCGAGGTTTTTGGTGCGCAAATTCTACCATGTGGGTTTGGATATCAAATGATACGTGCGAAACACGCGTATGGCGTGAGCGGGACACGTTTGGGCATTCTTGAGGATCAAATAAAAATCGACTTGGAGACTCTAAGCCAGTGATGAACGATTGTGACAAGTGACCAGGCTTTTTGCAATGATATAGCACGGATAAGAAAAGGCATGTTGGAACAATTTGGTCTTGTGTCAAACCAAACACCACAGGGTGCAGTAGTTGAACCACTCTTGCAGCCAGAGTTGTGCTTCCCTACTATTGAATTCAACTAATAGACTAATTATTGTGGATTCACAACCAACAACATCGTTTGAAGACCATGAAACCATTCTGGCTTGACTTGACTCAATTCATCAATCGAGTTAGTTCGAAGGTGGTCTTTGACCACCCCAAAGACCTTCCTTCCTTGTTCGTTGAAACGGAGCGAGACCAGTCATGCAGTCCATGAAGGCAGTGCCGCCGTACCAGACAGAAGGTTAGTTGGCTTTCATACCAGTGATTCTCAACTGTTAGGATCAAGCTTAGGCACTTGGTCCAAAACCCGCAAGACAATCAACAAGCCCAATCAAACCCGAACAATTTGGTCCACAAATCCAAAGACCAGCTTCCGCTTCCTGGAGTCTCCGATGGGAAGCGCATGCCGCACATGGGTGGCTTTCAGAGCCCGGTCCGCTGGCAACACACCGAATCCTAGGCGAGTATCCTGGGTGGTCAGTGGAACATCGTCCTAGTCGGCTGCACAGGCGCCGGTCTTCCAAGGAGTGTTTGCCTCCTGGTACTTCAGCTTTCAAGGGCGTCAAAAGTAGAGCTATCCATTTTTGCATGATAAGGACTTGGAACTAAGGATGATTACACTGGGGATGGAAGCTGTATGAAACTGGTGAAGATTCATGATATTTTGGTGAAACTAGTCTCGGATGACTGATCATACCTCATCAGAACAAAAATATGGCATTTGTGTCTGGGAAACTCCTTTCGACCAATCTTCTGCTCTCGCAGGCTCTTAGGTTCCACACATATTTCCAAGAGTTGCATCCCGTTGTATTGCATCCTGATTTTTGGTACAGCTCAATTCTGCTGTTCTTGTCCACACCCCTTTGGGGGGCTGGTCCATTTAGTGAGTTTATCAAGAGAGGCAACAATGAGCCACCAAGACCAACCAACAAGCCTTCGAGTTCAGACTCCCTGGAATCGAAGTGGAAAGTGGCCCCTTGGAAGACAACAGGTGGTTTTCCGCTTCCCATTTGCTCATTGCTTGTGTGATATCTCCAACTAGGTGAGAGACCTGCATGCTTCCCACAGAGACCCGCTTGTCACGTCTCCGTTTGTTTCGGTTTCGACCGGCGCTTGAAACGGTCGAACCCCACAGGGACACCACCTGAGACGTTGCCCAGCAACGGCGCGCATGTAGCGCTCACCAACGTGGCTTTGACACCCACGGTGGCTGAGAAGCCGTTCATCTCCGTGGAGTCTCGCTGAAGTTCGTGGAGACTCAGGGCTGGCATGTCTCATTGGTGTGTGTGTGTGTGTTAATGTACCGTAGCCCTAGCCTTCCAAGACCATGTTTTCAGAATGGCTGAGCTGGTTTTGTAAAGTCTCAACTTCTTAGTAAAACGATGGCTGTTTGGTAAAGAAGACCCCTTACTTACTTTGACTTTTGGTGAAGAGGAAACGGAGACTAAACCCCGGTGGGGCATATAAGGGCTTTTAGGGGTTGTCTCTCTGTTCGACAGATGAATCCATGTACCCTTCCCAGCTGTATATCTTCTCTCTGAACTTCATGGAGTCTGGCATAATCTGGCAATCTTCAGAAGAGTTTTGGGGCAACAACGACCTGACAGTACCAAGGAATTCACCCATCCGTTGTGTCTTTGGACACCACAGGTGCGACAGCTATAGCTGGATACTCATACGACATAGTAGCCCAACCACTTTCTATAGCAAGATGGTTAAAGCTTGCATCGATGCCTTGGTTTACATTTGGGGTAGCAAGGTGAAGGTCAGAAGGTTGTTGGTGCGGGGTGGTGGACTATGTGGCAGAGTCTGGACTGCCCATGGTTGACATAAAAACTCTTGCAACACTTCCGAGCAACACGCCCTGTCAAAAGCTACAGCAACATGGACCGCTGACAAGAAAGGTGTTCTTTTCCAAATCACTGGTGGGAAGGGGGTTTGTTGTTCTTTGAAGGTCAGAAGCGGCAGAAGACAACATTGGTCCATCGAAATGTTCAACTTGCACACTTCAAGAATTGGTGTAGCCTGTGGATCGGTGCCTCAACAAGATGTCTGAAGATCTTGTGGACGATGCAGATGGTGTTGGTTTAACACTATACGAAACAACATTCACAATAGGGAACAAAAGAAGACAAGGCACGACACATGTAGAAACCTCAGATCATCCACCCTGCTTGCGGTCCACCCCTCGGACCGAAGCCACAAAGCGCGGCCTTCGGGCGACCGATGCTTCGGTGCTTCGGTACCCCCATTTGAAATGGACATCCTCTTCATTCCTCTTCATATGGTTTTTCCTTATTTAATCAATCAAGAGTCTACATTCTACATGACATATCTGTCAGGACCTTCTTCTTTCCTCCCATACCGGAGAAGCCGTCGATCCGTCGTTGGAAACTCTCTCAAACTCTGAGGATTCCGCAGGGCTTTTCTCTTTGGAGATTCCCATCTTTCGATCCCTGGCGGGAGCACGGAGGGCCACGGAGATCGCCGGCTGCTTGCGAGCGGAGCGACGGAAGATCGGATGAAGCGGAGGGATGAAGCGGTTGTGGAAGACCACAGATAAAGCAGATGAGAGCCGCGGAGGTTGGAATTGCTAACTGCATTGAGATCAACACACATGTCAACACATGCTCCTTTGTTTGTTAATTATGCAGGATATGCAGGATAACACAATCTACTGAGTCTACTGTGACCCTTTCAACCAGCCAACGTCTTAAGCTTTGCCAGCAGGGTGAAATGGTGACAGCTCATATATATGTGGACACTGGCAGTTGACCAGCGACAGCGATTGTGGCTTCTTGGTTTGCTGAAGGGTGTTCGTCCCAGATCAGAAGTTCTTCCGCTGAGGGCCCTGTGTGCTTGCATGTCCCAGTATGTTCCAGTATCTCGACCAAGACAGTGGTCCTGTACGATCCTACCACGAAGTGATACACATTTGAGGGGCCTTGACACTAGCTCGTCATGCGACACTCTCTTAGGCTACTCATAGAGTACTGGATCAGTGCAGAAGGAATACTGCCCCCAGCCTTTCCAACATCCACTTGTCGCAGAGCTGACAAGCAACTCTGTCTTGACTTCATTTCTTTGCTTTAGTGTGCATGTGTTTGTTCTGGACACGTTCGACACTGCAATGTGTTGGATTCCACGTTCGACACACTGTGAAAGGACCTTTGCACAGTGGAGGCAGGACTTGAGTGTGAGCCATTCACGAGATATCACGGGTCCACCTGGGCAGAGCATGAGTGAAAGAGCTTTGAAACCCACAGGTGCTCGAGTAATGGCTAAGCACTTTAGTGACAGTGAGACAGGGGCCCTTGCCCCTGTTTGCAGCAGAAGTTCTTAGTTGGCTATGCCAATCAGACACAAATACGCGCCACGACCACGGTGATTGGGCTGTATGAATGAAGATTTATATAGTTATATACATATATATATATATATACATAATATGATGTTTCATCCGCTACTCATTGCTAGCAGTCTCAAAACAGATTACTAAATAGCCTTAAAATCAATGCGTAAACAGTTTATTGGTTCTGCAGTTGCTTGGATTCTTGTACACTCTTGCTGTCAAGGATGACTGATTCTGATTTGCATGTATTAGCTGACTTTGATGATGTGCATCAAGAAGCTCTAGAATTACCCTGAGCGACAGCGAGTTGAGGCTTGTGCAGTTCGCTTGGCTCGTTTTTAGCTGCATTGTGGCCTGTCAGATAACTGTCAATGATGACTGATATCGCATGTATTAGCTGACCTTGATGATGTTCATCAA